CAAAAAATGACAAATAATATATTTTAATTCGCGGGCCACAAAAAAAGGCTTCGCGGGCCGGATGTGGCCCCCAGTTCGCCAGTTGGAAACCCGTCTAGATCTGGGGTTTCCAACTTACATGAGGCCGGGGGCCGCAATTAAAATGCCAGTCAAATGGCGGTCCGAAAATTTATCAACATTTTATATAGGACTCTTTTATGTTTGAATGAATATTAAATATTACAGTCAGATTTTTATCAAAGGTTTTTTAAAATTAAAAAGCAAAATAACAAGCGTTTCAAATAATGATTGTTACGTATAATTTTAAATCTTCTCTTAATCAGAAACTTAGAGACAAGATTTTTTTTTTTTTTAAATTTAATTCTGTGATAAATTAACATTCTTTCGACATTTTAGGAATTATAGCAACAAAAAAAAAAAAAAAGTCTCGAACATTTGAAATTAAAATTTTTTTCTTTTCCGCTCATGCTATATTCAATTCAAGGAATTTAAATAAAACATGATATTCATTCCCTCTTTTATGCTTTCTAAAATTTACAAATTTAAATAATTTCGTCCAAAATGAGTGGTTTCAAAAAGTTAAATGGGAGAATTTCTTCGAGAAAATTTCTGATCCGCACATGGCTTATGCCAAATTATATTCACAAAATACGAAAAAAGAAAAAAAAAAGAGCAACCTAAACGATTATTTGTGTATTTGAATAAATATTTTCTTGGATGCAAAACCTGAGAAATAAATATTTTTGCACCGCTGGTATGTAAAATTTCATTGAAACGAAGAAATTAGGTTTTTGTTAACGAGAAAAGTATTCTAAACCCATACAGATTTTGTACGAAAATTTCCCACAAAAAAAANTTTTTTATGAAAAATTGTCCTGAAAAAAAAAACGACAACTAATATATTTTAGTTCGCGGGCCACAAAAAAAAAAAAAAGGCTTCGCGGCCCTGATGCGGCAAGCGAGCCGCCAGTTGGTAAGCTTTGGAATAGGTTGTCACTTCAATAGGACCCTGTTCATTCATTCTTCCCTGTTCAGTTGAAAAAGTTGAATCAAATCTTGCTAACTTACTTCCCTCACACATTCTATTAGAATGTGTAATAAAAAAGGTTCTTTTTATGATCCTCTCGTGCTGTACTCTATTAGCTTTGATAAGAAAAATAACCCACTAGTGCGTCTTTCTCTTTCTTAAGTAGAAAAATCACTGCTTAATCCAGTGGAGTGGGTTGCAAGAGCTCAAAAAGGAATCTTTAAAATAGAAGGAAAAAAAAATTCTATATAAAAAAAACAATGAATCTTGTAAACAATTAAATTTCAAAAAAATCCCGAACTAAAATAGCCACATTCATTAAAAATTTCTCAAGTTTCGAAGATTAGAAAAAAAAAAAAAATAAGTGTAGAAATTCTGAAAGGAATGTCCTTAGTAGACACTGAAAAGGAAAATCTTTGGCAAATGGGCGAATAAAAGAGGTATCCCCCCCCCTTTATTGAATGAACCGATCCATTAAGCAGTGTTGATTGTTATAGAAAAAATACTCATTTTATAACCATTTTTAGATTTAACCTTAATTATGTTTATTATATTCATTTTTTTTGTGTGTATTTAAACTTTCCCGATTCAATTGTTTGGTATTAAACCTCAACTATTTTATGGGTGCAAAAAATTTATTTCCATATTGAAATGTTTTTATAGTTTTTTTCTATATATGATATGCTTATATGAATTTTATTGACATGAAACATAAGAAGGTCGAAGAAAATTGGGAACAACCTCAAAAACTGGTTCCAGATTTCTTAAATTAATGATAGATTGAGATTACGTTGAAAAATAACGTCTTATGAGATGGACTGTCTTTTTTGTTTGTTTGTTCAACAGTTGGCCATTTTTTTGATATGAAAAGAAATCCATTCATTTGTTTTATTTTGGGGGGAGAGGCGGGGGAGAAAGGATTCTTCAAAAATTTACCTACTGTAAAAAGTTCTTTACGAACCTTTTGTGCTAAGTAACCGGATTTATGAATTCTATGTTCAGTTCAACTCAATGATCAAATGAATATAGTCTCTGCTATGCTAACCTTTACTGTTATTGTTGTGGATGTCGTCGGCCCATAAGGGGGCGATTGTTCTTGTTTTCCAAGAATCCGACTTCTGCCACACCCGTTTATAGGGCGGACCCATTCATTCAGTCATCTACAGATCGTCATTTTGACCTGTACCATCTCCATTTCAATACCCCCAGAGGTATTGATTTGGTATGGGAACATGGAGGACTTTGTGACCCGACAAATGTAACGTGCACCCGTCACCATTTATTACACGGGGAGTCTTCGACCGGCGAAGAGTCATGAAAAATCAAAGTGAACACATTTTTGTGACAACGTATCATTTTTCAGTCATTTTTGTATTTCATTTTATGGGTCATTTATTTAAATGATGTGTCATAAAAAGGGGGAAGGAGTTTGGAAAGATGAATTCATATTGTTTGCGGAACGGATAGAGTGAAGTCCCGGTTATAGTGAACCGAAATTTCGGTCCCTTGAAGGTTCCTATAGCGGGGTTTGAATGTACAGTCAAACCCCGCTATAGTGAACACTACTTATAGTGAACTCCCGGGTATAGGGAACGAAATGCTCGGCCCCGTGCCTTGCTATACTCGTATAATGTTATTTTTAGTGGATATAGTGAACCAAAAAAGTGAGAAAGTTGGATATAATGAACTTTTTCTTGTCTCATTTTCCTTGTAATAATTTTGAAATTTGTACTTCAAAATAAATACATACACCGATTTTTAAAACCATCTATAGAAACTACTTTTATGAGCTCGAATGGCAGGTTAGACAGGTTAAAAAAGCGGAATAACAGAAATTCAGGAAAAATTATCGGTGAGTGGGGAAGTGTTTCCATATCTGATGTTGAGGATTGCTCATCAGCTAAAGATTACAAATTTTTATTTGTACGCAAGACGAAGAGTGATGAAAAATAACACATTTTTTGCTACTACATAATATTTTTCAGTCATTTATTTGAATACAATGTAATAAACCATTGGTGAAATTGCCTGCGTAACGGATATACTGAACTCCCGGTTATAGCGAACCGAAATTTCGGTCCTTTGAAGGTTCACTATAGCGGGGTCTGACTGTATATGTTTCAAGCAAACATGCTTATAAAGTGTGGATAAGTAAAGGATTTATAATTTGTTTTTAATGAATAGCTATTTTAGGTCTGGTAAGATTTAGTTCCCTTTTCAAAGTGAGACTTTATTTTTAAAAAAAAGAATTGTAAATAAAATGTCGATGAATAAAATGAAAAGAAATGTTTTTTGTGGCGCAGGTTCTCTCCTGGTTCTGCCGCAAGGGTAATGAGTCACTGGAGAAGCATCAAATTATTGCCGATTCCTTGGCAGCCATCAAACTACAGGAGGAAGAATTTGAAAAGTTCTATTTCCTCGCAATGGTAAGTTCTTTCACTTCTCTTCATATTCTTCAATAATGTAACTTCTCATTTCAAAATGCATTCATTTCATTTCACATGTCGATAATCATTACGGTCTTACAAATAAAGACATTTGCTTCCGAATTGGGGGTGAGATATTATTTAAATAAACACATTACTAATACTCTACTACTATATTACTGCAGAATGTGAAGTGATACTGTGGGCAAACACACACTAGAATTAATAAAAGCAGTGTATCTCCGCACCAAAAGTAGTGAAAAATCATGGAAAATCATGAATTTCGGTATTGAACAAAATGCGTCATGAAATGTCATGATTTTAACTATTTTTTTTTATTTTATAAAAGTCATGGAAAGTCATGGATTTAGGTCGCTAAAAAATTTAATTTTTGAAATTCAATTCCCCCCCCCCCCATTTCATGGTGTTCCGAATATCTGAATGTGTAACAAAATCCCCACTCACAGTCATATTTTATTGAAACATAAAATGTTTTTATCTTGTTCTTTAAAAATTAGGGTGTTCTTTCGAAAAATGAACGATAGAAACGTCATTTCTAGAGCGAATTATCGTTTAAACTTCAGTGATTTCAGAATTTCTATTATTATTTTTATTTTATTCATTTAAAATTCTAGCCGAAGCAAGCCAGTCATAGGCGAATTTTTATTTATTCCGAAATGTAAACAGAAAAATCAGGAGTACTTCTTTCCTTTCCGATGAACGAAGAACTTTAATTGAAGAATTCTGATGAACTTTAGAATATAATTCTGCAGAAAAAAGAAGGGAAAAAAATTATTTGCTTTTGTATTTTTTTTCTTCAGCTATTTTATGGATTCAACTCTTTTTTTTACTCTGTTTTTTTTAATTTGTAATCTATAAATATGAAGATGCAGAGTATAACAGTTTTGGTTATACCTATCATTTCAATGAATGTTATTATACCGCTTTTTTAAATATATGCAGTGTTGTATTTTTGTCGGAAAAAATAGTAAGTTCGTTAAGTCATGGAAAATTCTTGGAATCAGTCATGAGAAGTCACGGATTTGAAAAATCTAAAATGTAGGAGTAAAGGGTGTTCATGTGAGAATTTCGTTTGTAAATGGTTGAAAATACGAATTCACTCTTTAACGGGAGATATTAATGGATGAGCTCTCAACAAGAATAGTAATAAAGAAACTTTATTAAAGTAAATAATTCCAACGGCTAAAATATTAAACATTGAATTAGGAGATCAATCATGAAATATAACACCTTTCCTTCACCTGACAATTAGTTTAGAAAAAGAATACTATTTGTTTAGAAATCTGCAATCAAATCTCTCATTACTGTATTTCAGTGTGTCCCTAAATTATGACTTTTGTGTACCCTTCTAAATTTTTCGTAACGCCGTGCACCACTAAATGATGAATGTATTTTTTACTATAAAAAAAATTGCTGTTGACACCACTCATTATTAACTGTTAACTTTGCAAAAAATAGCCAATCGAAAAATACATAATCGTAAATTTTCATGACTAATCTTGTTTTTAAATAAAATATTTTGAAATTTTCGTTTGTTGCGAGATATTTCGCATAAGAACGTGTACCCCCGCTATACTGTGCCCGTGCCCCTGGGGCGTTCGCGTACCACACTTTGAATAACACTGCTGTAGTCCATGAATTTCTTACTAATGGCATCCCGATTGGATTATTAAATTTTGCCATCTGAGGCGAAGTAATACTTATCTTTATACTATGGTGAGGCCATCCTATCTGTAAACGTTCGGCTGGATCACCTTTGAAACAGAATTAGTCTGTATTTCCAATTCGTTACTTTAATTTAATTTTTATCTCATATCTATAACATTAAATATTTCATTCCTTGATTTTTGTTCTCCGTTTCTACACACAACTAACTTTAATGCTCGACTATCATCTGAAAAATCGTGTCTCCCTTCCATTACATTTATGTACTTCAAGATAATATTTATCTGACTTTGCTTTTAATTTCTATCTTTTCTTTGAACTGTCGGAAAAAAAAGTTATTTTGCCTCCAATCGCAAAAACTGCTGCCTCACTAACACCCCCCCCATTCCATTTTTGCTCTATTTCTTTTGTTAAGTTTAAGATGCTGTTTTGTTTCTTCACTATTTGCCTTTTTCGGATTATTTCTGTTATAATATTCCCATATCGGTTATATATATATATATATATATCTTGGCCAAAGAATACCTAAGGAGGCCTTTCCATTTCAATTCTAACCTTCAGTAAGGATAGGTTCGAAAAGGGACGAAATATATTGCACCTCCAAAACCCGTTCCACTGTCTCCCCTACATTTTTTGTGGGGGTGCGTGTGTTAAGTAACCCGAAACTAATCACTGTCACAGAAGGGGAATTGCAACCTGCGGGGGTCAACTAGCTTTCAAAAGATATCAGAAGAAACTCACTCTTCATCTTATATTATGCTTTTTCTCTTTCTAAGATAAACTTAAAAAATATTTTTTTAACTCTAAAACGACTTTATTTATTTTCAAAATAGTTTTATCATTTTATTTAACATGCACTTTTTCTAATTATATCTTGAATTGTTTATTATTTTGATTTGATTATTTAGAGAACTAATAATAACCAGAGTATTTAAATTTATAAAATTTTACTATGTAGTCATATGAAAGTAATTCATATAAAGTAACTACATTAAAAATAAATTTATATTTTCTCTATAGATCAAATAAAGTTTGTTAATTTTTTTAAAATTGATTTGCTAATTTTTAAAACTTTTTATGTTAAAGTAAAACCTTGAGTTCAAGATTTTATTTTTTTATTACGTATTTAATTTTCTTCTTTCAATTACAATTCAAATACAAATATTTTTCACAATCTTTTTTTAATTTTAATTAATTTTTTTTAAA